TTCTGATGGCATTTTAGCCAAAGGATTTTTATCAAAAACATAATTAATGTGCACAAATAAGGAATAATTGTATTAACCATATATGTAAACAGAGTTTTATGGGCCCCCCAAGAACTTGGGGCCCTAGGCACCTCTCTCGTAATTTTATGACTTTATTCTTGTAATTTTATGACGTGATTCTCATGATTTTACAAATTTATTCTCGACATAGAAACATAAATCTTTAGCCTGGCCCTGATACTCCATCGTATGAAAAGGTGGAAGCAGTAAAACTGCAGGACAGAAGAAAAAAAAAAAAAAAGGACTTAAAGGTCCAACAATCAATCAGACCTGCATTTATACACTGAAAAAAATAAAGCAACTGTTTCTGGCATTTAATTAATCATATTTAACAATTGGCTTTCATGTTAACATGGTAGGACATAATACAATAGTGTTAAAGTAACTAATAGATACCAAAAACGGTTGCATTATTTTATTCAGTGTAGCTGATGGGAGACGAGATGCTGAACTGTTGCTGCTGTTTCATTTATCAAAGAATCAAAAAACTAAATATTAAGGCTGCTGCCAACAGACTGTTTATACTGACAGGAATATTTCACCGTGTACGTTATGTTTTATGCATAACCTTTGATTTTACTTGTAATTACTTTTTTTGTAATTGAACGACATGTAGCACATCCTGTTTACAATTTTTTAAACGTTATTTTCCATAGAGCTCCACATTAAACTTGTTTATATAGAAATATAAAAAGTGGTGACTTATTGTTATGAACCATAAATGCACTTTTCACTCATTTTGAAATGTTGCTTTTTCTTTTAAAACGTTTTTTTTTAACCACCATTATTGTAGCCATTTATTAGATGTAATGTAAACGTGAAATAAAAAGCTAAAACATGAGTGGAAAATGTGTGATTTTGTTTTTAATGTAGCAGGATGGACTAAATGGAGAATATTTGGATTCAAGAAAAGGAATTTATAAAGAATATATTCAAGTTAATGTTTTACTAAATTATATTGATCAGAAATAAACTGTTTGGGGTAAAATATGTTCTATATATTCATCTAGATATCTATAATAAATGAAAACTTTTTAATCAAAACAACAGTATTAATTATTAAAACAATATTTTCATTTTTTGGCTAAATATAAACCATAAAAGCAAGAATAGAAATATATATAGCAGTGATGTTATGAACGCCTCATATTGTTTATACATTAACGCTGCTGCTATTGATTTTTAGCTGTTCCATTCCTCTCAGAGCAAAGATCTAGAATAGAAATGTCAATATAGAGCGCATCTGTGATGCCAAAAATGGATCCATTTTCTTCCTTGTTTACATTTGGTTGTGAAGGAGATTTAAAGCAGATGGTTGATGCACTCTGGACTAATCTTTGGTACACAAACCTCACGCTCCACTGAATGAAGGTTCCAGG